ATCTTTTACATGGACTAATTGCAATACAATCGTTCACATCATACTACTGCCGCTCTATATAAGATCTTTGATCAATTGAGATCCTGATCGTCTTCCCTGCAACTAAACCAAATAAGATCTAGATCGTTTGGGAGTATGGACCCAATATTACGTGTATTAATTGAAATACAATTTCAATCTGGAGGAAAATGTTTAGTCGATACCGCTTTCAATCTATATTAGATTGAGATTCAGATCATTATTTCTTCTCATATTGTGATCTGTGTAAGATCTTTGACCAAAAAAGTCTCGAATCGTTTTGAAGCATGGATGTGGTCTAATCGAAATTCAACTCGAAACCGGAGAAAAAACGTTTACTTGGTAATATGAATTAGATCGCTTTCTCTGCAATCAAACCAAATAAGATCCAGATCTTTTGGGAGTATGGATCCAATGTTACGCGTACCAATTGAAATACAATTCCAATCTGGAAAAAAATGTTGCAATTGAGATTCAAATTGTTTTCTCTGGAGAAAATCGTTTCTACTCATAATGTGATCTGTGTAAGATCTTTGACCAAAAAAGTCTTGGATCGTCTTGAAGCATGGATCCAATGTTACGTAGACTAATCGAAATACAACTTCTAAACGGAGATAAAACCGTTCACATGATACTACTGTTGCTCAGTGTAAGATCTTTGACCATTAGAGATCAGATCGTTTGGGAGTATGGATCCAATGTTATGTGGATCAATTGAACTACAATTCCAATCTGGAGAAACATTTTCAGTCAATATTACAATCGCTCTGTGTTAGATCTTGGAGCAATAGAGATCAGATCGTTTGGGAGTATGTATCCAATATTATGTGGATCAATTGAACTACAATTCAAATCTGGAGAAAAATTTTCAATCAATATTACAATCGTTCTGTGTCAGATCTTGGAGCAATAGAGATCAGATAGTTTGGGAATATGGATCCAATGTTATGTGGATCAATTGAACTACAATTTCAATCTGGAGAAACATTTTCAGTCAATATTACAATCGCTCTGTGTTAGATCTTGGAGCAATTGAGACTCAAATTGTTTTCTCTGGAGAAAATAGTTTCTACTCATATTCCAATCTGTGTAAGAACTTTGACCAAAAAAGACTCGGATGGTTTAGAAGCATGGATCCAATATTACGTTTACTAATGGAAACACAACTCCAATTCGCAGAAAAAACTTTCAGTTGATATTGCTATCGCTCCAGATCTTTGAGATGTAGATCGTTTTTTCTGCAGAAAGACAGTTTCAACTGATATTTTGATCTCAGACTCAGATCGTTTTGGAACATGGATCCAATGTTATATGAACTAATTGAAACACTCTTCCACTCTATAGAGAAAAAACTTCCCGTTGATAATCTTAACGATCTCTGCAGGATCGTTTAAATATTAAGATTCAGATTGTTTCAAAACATAGACCAATGGGAAACACTCCTGTACATCTGTAGAAACAACTTTCATTAGAAAATACTAGCAGTCTTTGTCGATCTCTGGCCTAATAATCAAACTCAGATCATTATGCACCCTTGATCCTATGGTAGTAATATCATAAATATTGTTCTCATTGTCCAAATACTTTCCAAACATCCTGTATATGTTTCTATATATATAAACAATGTAATGAAATCTTATTATAATCCCTGTATACTATATACAATAACAACAATAACAATAATAATAATACAATATTTACGCCTATTATGTGTTAAAGTTGTTGTCGTTGTTGTATGGATGTTGTTGCTGTATTATTGTTGTAATACATTGTGATGATGTTTTGTATTGGTAAAGTGGTCTTGTTGTAAACCACTTTAAACTCACTCTACTCCATCTATAGCAGCACTCTTCCCAGTTTATAACAACAACAATGTTGGCACTTAATAATTTGTTTATGGTTTATAACACCATGGGGAATAAATACTCTATGTAAGTATTTGAAAAACAACTCCAAAGTGATGATGGTGTATGAAACCAAAGACAATTATGAATTCTGTTTTTTTTTTTTTTTTTTCTTCTATTTTTATATTTGGAGTAATTGAATATTAATTTATGTATGTATAAGTATAAAGGAAATGAGGAAACAAATGCGGGCTTAAATAATTGAAATTAAAACTAAATCAAGCAAGAAATTAAAAAAACAATTTTTTTGTTGTTGCTCGAAAAAAAAAACTACGCCATATTTCTTAATTTTAAATTATAGGCTTGAAAAAAACCGAATTTTGTGGTTTCTAAAGGCTTAAGCTTAGTTGAGCAAGTTTACATATAAATAATTTAGGTTTTTTTTAGGTTTGTCTCCTCTTTAGCATTTCCAGAGATCAGACTTTTGATTGTTGTACTATAAATAATTAATGGTTACAAAAATGTCATTTTGTTTCTCTTTTTTGAGAGTAATTATGTTAAAAAAAAAGTATTTTGATCAAAAATACTATTTGTGGTTAAAATGTTTTTATGTTGAAGTAAAACAAAAACTTGGTTGTTTCATAATTATGGGTTTTAGGTTTTAAGAATATGTTATCTCTATTTTAGGAAAAAAATTTTAACCAACTTCACTTTGACATTTTTCCATTTATCATCCAACAGTTGTTGTTGGGTTTAAAATTGGAAAAAAAAAACTATCTTAAGATCATTCTCATCGATGGAAAAAAACCTATTTTAAGAAAAATTCATCTTAATAGATCTTTCAATAACCAACATGAAAGCTTATGCGATCACTTATAAGATCACTTATATGATAGTTGGTCCCCTAAATTGAACTAGTAATGAAGGATCCTCAAATATTTGCATCCATGTCACTAAATTACAAATTTACTCAAATTTCAAGGCCATCTTATCTCAGAAACTGACGAGCATTCTGCTTGATGGGCTTCGGAAACAAAGAAATCTAAAGGTTTATTTGTTAGTCTGGATCGATCTATGAAATGAACTCTTTAACCAAATCTATTTAATTTCAATTTATTCTTTAAGATCAGGTCTTTTTCAAATAGAAGATCGTTCTCTTCGATGAGCTTCGTAAGTAGAGAAAACTGCATACGTTATCGAGTAAAATGAGTCTTAATTTTCTTTCCAATATCGAAATATATTTACGATATGAAAGCTTATTTAGGTCAGGATCGATCTCTCGAAATCCAAATTAAAAACTAATTCTCAATCTCGAGATTATTTTCTACGATTGAGAAACCCACCCCCAACGCAGAACTCTTTTAAACGATGTGATGAGTAGGCAATGAAGCCAAGAACCAAATGATCGCAAAAGTTATCCCTAAATCAGAAGATTATTCTCTACGATGAGGAAAGCTACTTCAACGCAGATCTCTTTTAAACACTGTACTTCGAAGGCAATGAAGCCAAGGACCAAATTACCGCATGCGTTATCCCTAAATTAGAGAATTGTTCTCTACTATGGGGAAAGCCACTTCAACTCAGATCTCTTTTAAATGATATACTACATAGGCAATGAAGCCAAAGACCAAATGATCGCATACGTTATACCTAAAACAAAAGATTATTCCCTCAATGGAGAAAGCCACTTCAAGTCAGATCTCTTTTAAACAATGTGCTTCCTAGGCAATGAAGTGCGAGTCCAAATGATCGCATTGTTATCTCTAAAACAGATGATTATTCTCTACGCTGGGGAAAGCCACTTCAACTCAAATCTCTTTAAAAAAAAATGTGCTGCGTAGGCAATAAAGCCAAGGTCCAATTGACCGCATACATTATCACTGAATCCTATTGTATAAAACTTGTATGGAAACTTCCGCAACTATCGTTGAAAGTTACAGATAATTCAAGAGCTTTTTCGATAGAAAGCTTCATTGAAAGAGTAAAAGAAATAAAATTCAAAAGCTTCCTTCTTAGGCTTCAAGTCAAGCCTTAAAGAGTCCGAAGTTTTCACAGATCTACTGTTGTGGCAACGTTGATCAGGAATCATTAAAGAGAGTGAGATCGTTCGGGAGCTTTTTTGGTTCTTAATCAGTAACTTTTATTCGTTTCACGAATCATTACTTAGATTGTCAATTCTAATAGACATGAAAACTATTCGATAGGAACTGGAATTTATCGTTGGCAGTCATTTGAAGAATGAGATCGTGACAATTTCACATTTGACACGATAATTGTTTGATAGGTTTCATAATCAAAGAATTATGATCCTATTTTCATGGATTAATCGTGGATCTAAAGATGTAGAAACTTTGTCTATGCAGTAATCATTTAGTTGTTAAACTTTCTAAGATTAAGAATGAGATCATTTTATTATCCCCGGGACCTTAAACTTTAGCTATTTGCTTCAATGTTAGCAGAGGTTTCACTTTGTTATTCCAAAGAAAATGAAGTAGAATCCGATGTGAGTAACTTGAAAAATCCACTCAGCTCACGAATGTTCATTGTATCATCCGGTTATTTCAAAAATCTGGCGACAGAGTGCTTTGTCCCCGATATAAAATATCTAAACTTTTCAATTGAATTTTGAAATGATTTGATTTTTGTGATACCCAGGTTCCTTTCACCTTTCTTTCGCCAAAATTTCACTATTGTTATACATACAACTGTAGTTTCCAAAAATTTTTCAATTTCCCTAAATTTCGATCTACCAAAATTGAAGAAGATCGTTCAAAAATCATTACAAAACACAATTACTCATGATTGTTCGGTATTTCTATAAATTTCGATCTTCTTCTTATATTAAAGAAGATCACTCGAGAATACAATTACTCATGATAGTTCGTTAGGCACGAGACAAGTTTCACAGTTCCAATTGGAATGGTTTTTTCCAAAGACATTCGAGAGCACTGATTCACTACACACGATTTAAAAACAACATCAAAAACGACACTTTTTTTATTCTTTCAGCATATCTTTATTAGCCGTCGGCAAAACTTTTTCTTACAAAAACTCCCAAACTTTATTTAGGAATTATTTCAATAACCATCTACCTTTTAAGTCCAAAAGAAAAAAGAAACTAAATTTCCTGCAACTTACCCGAACTAGGACGATCACTGTAACGGGTACAATAAACCCAAGCTGGCCATACTATAGGGCCATTCCCCGTACCCGTGGCCGAAGTCGAGGTAGCCGTTGTTGTTGTACTCTCCTCTGATTTACTCGAAGAATTTACATTTTTATTAGTCCCACTACCGCCATTCTCCAAAGACGTGGAAAAACCAGGTGATAATGTAGGAGTCTGAGAGGGAGATGATTTCACTAAATCAGCAGCACCATTAGCACTACTATAATTACTGCTAACAGCTGTACTACTCGAATCATTGCTATTCGTACAGATGGTGGCCAAAGAAGTGGAAAATGTTTGTGTCGAGGGCGATATATTATGTACCAACGATTGGGTCGTATGATCCAGTGAGTCAGTTAACACTGTATGGGCGCTATTGGAGGCTACAGATGAGGAGGAGGACGAAGTAGTGTTAAGACGGTTATGCCTTTGTGAGTGTGATTTATGTTGACCACTTTTTCTTATTTGAGGCGGTGAGTCCAGACTATTAGAGCGACCAAAATCTGCTTTAAGTATATTGTCTATGCTAAATTTTAAAGCCCTTTCATGAAGATTATCATTATTGTCATGCAGCAGACCGGGTAAATGAGCCTGCATTTGGGTCTGCAATTGATTGAGTGTGGACATCATGTGTTGGGTACTGGTAGTAGAGGCTGGAGAATGTTGTTTACTTAGATCGGTTAATTTGGCCAAGGTATCATATTGCTGATGCAGGTGTTGATGCTGCTGCTGTTGTTGTTGTTGTTGCAGCATATGATGGGTATGTTGTGTATGATTTAAAGGTTTATGATTTTGTTGAGCGGCCGCTGAGAGAGCAGCAGCAGCTGCTGCACTTAATTGTCCTATTTTAGCTAAAGGATTAAGATGATGCACTAGATTGGGTGTTGGCGAAATTTGATGTGTATGATGCAGTTGTGTTAGGCTTTGGGAACGCAGCGTAAAGGCACTGGCTCGAGCGGCAGCCATTAATTGCATTTGATGTTTCATTAGTTCCTCTGCATAAAGATGAGATTTCCTTAGAAACTCCTCTTGAAAAGGAGAAATATTTGCCGCTGTAGTGGCGGCATTAGGCTGCAGACCAAAAGGCACCGGAAATCTTAAGTTATGGGCCAAAGCAAAAGGATTTATGCCCGTTTCTTGAGAAGAAACCGAGGGAGAATGTTGCATTTCCTCATTGGAAGAATTCGAGTGAGTATCACTAATATCCAAAATCTCCTCATCCTCTCCAACACTGGCGGCAGGCTCCTCTCCAGGATTTTCCTTACCCACCGAAAGTTCACTGCACAAACTAATATTATCATCCTCCTCTGGCTGGACATGTTGTAATGGGAAGTTCTCCTCTGCCTCAGCTTCATCCTCTTCATCACTTACTATGCGCACCAGGTCTTCAGTATCCTCTGAAGAATTATTGGTTATTTCTGAAGCGGTATTAGCCATAGTTTTACCGTTAATGTAGGCGCTAAATAATACGGGTTGTTTATGCTTTAAACTTAAATTTGAAGCACACTTTTGCAACACCAGACTAAAGTCCGGGTGCATGTTATGGCATGTATGAAAGTTACACAAAATTTAGACACTTTTTTTAAAGGATATTTTTGAAATTTTTTGTAATTTTTTTTTTAATTTAAGTTTTTTTTTTAATTTAAAACAGTTTTTATTTAAATATTTTTATCACATTAGCATTAGAAGTTTAATTACACAAAAGCCGTCGGTAGTTAGACGTCCTCATTGTGTAGGTTGTTGACGTTTAGGCAATTGAAATAAACCGTTATTTCAATAATAATAATAATGATAAGAGTGATTAAAATTCATTGATTTGTTTGACTTATTGGTTTTTATTGCTCATTTAAGCCTTTTAACATACACACACACACTCACGCTCTTAACTTAAACAACAATTCCAATTCAATGATCTAATACCATTAACACTAATTCAATAAAATTTTATTTGTTTTTTTCTTGATTTCTTCTAATTTTATTGCAAAAAAAAAACTAAATAAACAACTAAAAGATACACATGCATGTATAAGCATGCACATACAACGCCACCAACAACAACATCAACTCAATTTGCAGTTTAACAACAAATCGTTGCTGTATAAAGGAGCTAATGCGGTTACGGTGTAAGCAATAAACAACAAACAAAAAAAAAACCAACAACAATACCAAAGCTATACAACAGACGTGCAGTATAACCGCTTTACGGTTATAACAACTCAGAACGCGTTAGGTAACTGAAGAGCGCAAATATTAAAAGCATACAATACATTTGAAATGTAGCGTACGTTTATGTATACGCCAGCGCCCAGCGTTAACGTCGGAATGGGTGTGCTTATTAGGAAAAACTCAACATGTTTGACTACATTATTGTTTTGTTGTTTTTTTTTTTTGTTCAGCTTTGTCTTGTTTCTTTTTACATCATTTTTCTCCAACCAAATGCCAGAAAGAGATGACTAAAGTATACAGCTGTTAAACAGCAAAAGCCAACAAGAACAACAACATTAATCCAAACAAATACCCTTAAAGTGTGCCGTTGTGTGTTTATTACTCAAATAAAAAGGTAGTGTTGATATTAATATGCAGCTGTTTCTTTCTAACTTAAAGTGTTTACTAACCAATAGACTCATACATCTATCACTCTCTTTCTTTTACTTTTGTTTTTATTATTAATTCCTGTTTTTTTTTCAATTTATTTCCCATAACGAATTCTTTTTCCACTTCCTTTACTCAAGTACTACTTTTCATCCATGTACATATGTATAAGTGTATGTGCCTCTCCTTTTTTCCTTTTTTATATTTCAATGAGAGTTTTGCTGTCATTATCATCATCATCGTCATCATTATCATTATCATCTTTGCCATATTACTTATTAAATTACCCTCTGTACGTGTGAATAGTTAGTTGTCTACAAACAACATAATGTTATTAGATTATGTGTGAGCGTCAGTTGAGGTTATGTTTAGTGCTGCTTGCTGCTCATCTCTCGTGTCGTATTGTAAACTATATGAAGGTATAGTAAATGTATGGATTTGTTAATTAAGTGCAACTCCACGACATTTGAGCTTTGAGAGTTTAAATGAGTTCGGTATTATTGTTGTTCATTTACTTTGCTTTAATTTCTACTCTGTTTTTCATTTCACTTCTGTTATGTTGTATTTTTTTCCTTTAGTTTTTATTCCTTGTGTTATATTATTATCGTTAAAGTATTTGCCATATCCCAGTGAACATTTTCATAACTATTTGTTGATAAGTTCTTTAAGAAATACGGGAGTTGCATATAGATGTGTGAGTATTGTGATAACGAAACAAACCCCATATTAGGAAAGTACTCCGAAGAATCTATGGAATTGAATACCCTAATTTCACCGATAAGTACCTTACCCTGTACACGGTCGAGTAGCCCTAAAATAGACTTTGAAATACCGGCCCACACATACATATATAAGTGGTTTAAATAGTAAGAAGATCTGGTGGAGTACTATTTACTACATGTTGACTTAAAAAATTTAGTTTATTCCTGTGGAAATCGCACTGTATGCTTATCTTCAGATCATCAAAACCTTCTGATTCCTTAATATTTACAATACCCATATTGAATCATACGATAGTTGAAGACAATTCTGTTCACACGATCCAATCATACGATAGTTGAAGACAATTCTGTTCACACGATCCAATTACATCTGAATTTATCTTGAAATCATCTGATATAGATCTCATTTATAACAGCTTGTATAGAGGGATCCCTGACAAAGATCGATATAAATCGAGAAATGAAGTTATCGTCAAAAGCAATTAGTTTACATAGAAGTACCAGCCCAAATGGTGAATAAAATGACACCGTTTTGCCAGAAGGTAGGCCAGTAGGTTCCCGTGTAAAGATCTCTACAAAAGCCATACTTACGGACGTTTTCAGAGTCTGGTCTGCCTAAAAACCATTCCGGAAACTTCTTATTTAAATAACGTTCTATCTACAACTCCTTGTAGGTATTTTCGGAAATTGAAATCCCTAACGTCACTTGGACTCCTAAGATAATACAAAAAAAAGATTGGAAATCTAGGCAGGATTATATTTGAATGCAGAGCAGAGCAAGTTGTCCTACTGTATGCGACATTAACAAAGATTAAAAACGATGAGAGGGAGTAATCCTACGCAGTTCTGCTCAAGTATAGCTGCCTTTTTCCTAGGGATTATATTAAATCACAATATCAATCGCCCATCAACGTTAGAAGTGCAACAGTCCAATATCGATCTGGAAATTCCTGGTATTTTGGTCGATTTCTATGTGCTCGAGTCATGGAAAATTGAGTCCGGTGTATTCACTCTTCATAGCATTGGCTTGTCACACGGTACATTCGCGCCTAGTTGTAGATTGTAGAAATGTCCTTAGGGACATTATGAGACTGTTTGTCATTAGATTGTGTTGGGTGCCGGGGCACTGTAATGTGCATGTTAATGAGATTGCGGACGAACTGGCTAGATTAGATTCGAACCTTGATATATGTAGATGATAGAGAAAGGATGATAAAACCACCCATTTGTAGCTATTATAGGCTGATATTCGAAAGAATCCGTGACATCATAAACAAGTCCTGGATTAGTAGATTATGATAGGGATACTAACGGGACACTGCTCAGTTAGGGCCTTTGTCGATAAGTGGGACAGCAGTATACCGGACTATTGAAGGTTATGCGAGAATGAGGAGGAAATAGAATCGATCGAGCATATAATTTGCTACTCTCCTAGTATACAGAATCTCAGGCAGTTTACAAGGTTTTGTCAAGGGCGTTAGTCACTTCTTCGACTGGGCCTTATAGGGGGGACAAAGTTTTTCTCTCTCATCTCTTTATTCTCTAGGATACTGACTTGTGTTTTTGTTTCTCTGTTTTTGTATCTTCACTCTTTAATGGGAATCACAATGGACCTTATAGTCTCCGAGTGAATATGCACCGTTTTTTATGGTGGTATAACCCTTCTTAACCTAACCTGTGCTCTCTCGCTATGTCTTCGATCGCGGTAAAAGCTCTTAATTATAGACGCTCTTTGTAACAAATTGTGGAAGAGTTCAGAGTTAAACATATATAAAATATGGAAAACTTCAGCTAAAAGTCAAAAGCTTCAAATACAAAAGATATGCGGCAGTTGAAAACACTTCGACGTCTTGCACTGGATCGTAAAGTCAAGAAGAAGAATGCAATTTCCATGATCATGTAATCTGTTTGATCTATTAAATATTGAATTCAAGCCCATTAAGAGAGGAAAAAAATACATCATTATGGTCTCTTAAGTCATTAGAATTGCGCTCATTTCTCCGATTTCAAAAATATCTTATTTCCTATACCAAATCAAAACAACTGAACGTGTAAATTATTAAGATCGTTTTTGACTTTTTATAGAAGATTTTCTGTAATTTCTAACATATTATAACCAAATATGTATTTTCAATTGTATCCTCTTGGGTTCCCTATGAAAGTGTGTTTTTCAGTCCATCTGTTTGTTAAAAGCTTGATATAGACCTAGCAAAAAAAAGTCCTAAGATGTGATTTTTGCAGAAGTTTTCCCACAAATATTCTCTATTGATAAGATTTTATTACTTTTGAAAAAGGTCATAACGATTCGATCGGTCACGACCCCCTAATTCTACAGATATTTCGTCACTTTTCAATTTAAACATTTACTGGGATAGTAAATTTGGCTCGATTTGAGTGTGTGTGTGTGCTTGTCTGAGCTGTTGGCTGCCAAGTCCTCTTTAGTGTCTGTGTAATTTCGGAGAATTTATTTGTTGAATTAATACTTTTGGGTGCTTTGGTAGGATATACATACATATACTAATTTATAGTATATTTGCAACTACATTAAATACAGGGTAAAGCGTAAACAGTTACCCTCCTTAAGGATGAAAAATTTAAGTTTTAAAAACTTTTTCCAATTAGAAGAATTGGTTTTTAAAAAACCAGTTTTAATTGAGATCCGATAATGTGCTCGAAAACAGTTTACAGGCAGTCCAAGTTTACGATTTCCGATTACGATTTCTTGATCGTTAAGAAAATGTTACCATATTATATGAGTGATTGGTTGACAAGGTATTTACTTTCTAGTCTTTGTCTAAAGAAATTCCAATTATTACGAAATTATAAAACCAAATTGATCACCCTTTCAAAACACTACATAAGTTTATATATAAAATGTTCTACCTTTTAATTTAGCACAAAATGATAAGAGTACAGAAAAAAGACACGAGTTTGAATTTCTAATGTTTGCTAAAACAATTCTACCATAAAGCAGTAACGTACCTGGAAAAAGGATTTACCAATATGCCTAAACTCTTCTCTAGGCCCCCTATTTACTACACGCCCTTTGACCTAAATACCTCTTTACAGCATCTGCAGTAATCAACATTTTGATTAAGCATTTAAGAACTAAAACTACTACTGCAAAATACTCGTACACATACATATAGACATTGTTATATAAATATTGGGGAAAACAGTATCTGCATTATAAATTATATATTTTCATTTATTCTTACTCTATTACACCTTGTTAAGACATGTCTGTTTTTATAAAATACCAAAAATAATTGCATCTAAATAAATATAAAATGTTTATTAGTTTACTTTTGCATAGATATATTTTTTATATATTTTAATTGTTTAGGTTTTTTTTGCTTGGATTTTATATCTATAGTTTTTGAAAAATAAATCTTTTGATTTGATTCTTAGTATAAAGGTTGAGATTTTTCTAATTGATTACTGTCTGCTGCAGATTTTTGGGTATGGAGAGAGTTTGGGAATAAAATGGAAATAATATACAGTGGAAACGAGATAAAGTGTAAAAGTTATTGGTTAAAGGAATCATACTTTAATAAAACGTAAAAGTTAGGTTATATAGAACATACGCAATCTAGACATTTGGCCCATTACGTTTCTCTTAAGATAATTGCTCTCTAACAATTGAGGAGATCATTAAAGAGACTTACTATTCTCAGTGCTAATAGTTTAGATTTGGACCATTTTGATTTCACTTTGATTTGCTGGATCATATATAAGTTCGATAAAGTACCAGAGAGTGAATGCAATAGAGATGACATTTCGATTTTTCCGATTCTTTCTGAGGTTGTATCGATGAAAAAAGCGCATACATAAAGCAATTTAGCCTCGTACGTCATTCATCTTATTTTCATACTTTTAACATGATTCCTCTCTAGACTGAATGCA